CTTGGTTTTGGCTCAGGTTGTGATCTCAGGGTCGTGAGACCCAGCCTGGTGTTGGGCTCTGTGCTCAGCACAGAGTCTACTTGGGACTTTCCCTCTCCCTCTGTCCCCCTCCTCAAATAACTATTTAAAAAATGGCTGTAGGTTACAAATGAGTAATTTAATAATTTCATGCCCATTTATGCTGGCCATTTATGCTGTCTGCATATTTTCATTAATACAAATGAATGTCTTTAGGCCTATATTTTTTCAGCCTTATGCAAGTGTATCAATAAGATAAATACCCAGAAATGGAATAACTGGTTAAAGGGGGTGTGCATGTAAACATTGATAGATATCACCAAAATGCCATCCAAAAGTGTGCCAGGTTTCGTCTCCCATGATCAGAGTATGAGAGTGCTTGTCTTGCCCACAGACTCTGCAATACTGGTCTCATTATGTGTTTTTTTCACCTCTACCAATTCTCTGGTAGAAATGGTTTCTCATTGTGTTATTCATGTTTCTTTATTTCCTAGTGAGTGATCACATCTTTTCATGTGTTTGTGGGACATTTGTAATTCTTTTCATGTCCTATTCATGTCTCTGACAAATTTCCTTCAAGTTTTTTTTATTGATTTATTCAAGTAATTTTTATGTTGAGAAAATAAGTTTTTTGTCTGATGTGCTCCAAATATTTTTTTCCCTGTGGGTTGTCTTCTGACTCTACTAATAGTGTTTTTTTGTGGTCATAAATCATAAGTTTATATGCAGTTAAGTAGATCAATATTTTTCTTTTAGGCTTTTGGCTTGTGTCATAGTTGTAACTGCTGTCCCTACTCCATGATTATTTTTAACATTCACCCATATTTTGTCTCTTTCATTTCAGATTTTATCCACCTGAAATGCATTTTAATGTAAGAAGGGGGAAGGAATATAGATTTACTTTTTTCCCAAATGGCTAGAAATTTCTCTAACATTATTTGTGAATAAGCCATCTTTTCATGATATGAAATGTTATCCTTATCACATAGTAAACTCCCAAATCACCTACTAAATTTACTCTGTTACTCACCTCTACTTTGGTGTCATCACAAATTATTTTAACTATGTACCTCTATGATACATGTTCATATTTTATTATTTTTAGATATCCCCTTGCTTTTTTGGCATGTTATATTTTCAAATGAACCTTTTATCAACTTAATATTTTGACTTTTTGTATTTTGATTTGACTAAGATAAGTTACTGTATTGTGAAGGCCTGAGTTTTACTTACCCAGATAGAAGCCATGATATTCCACCTTTGCTTGAGTTGAGATCAGACAAACCTATTAAAAGAAAAAAATTACTAAACAGAATAAATCTGGGATTCAGAATACAATAATCTCAGAATAACCCTAATCTTTAATCCAGAAAATAGAAGTCAACATTCAAAGAGACCATCTCAGTAAAATGATGTGTCTCTAGCATCAAGTACCCTATTTGCTAAACAAACATTTACTGAGCACCCACTATGTACAAGGGACTATGCTGGACCTGGGAAGGGGTCAAAACAAGAGAGAAAAAAAATCACTGTACTTAAGGGGTTTACAAATATGTTTCCTGGAAAGCAAATTCTTGACTCGTTTAAAAATCCAATAGAACTATGTTGATTACCGCGTTCTTTTAACCAGGATAGATACCATCCTAGGGAATAACAAGAGAAAAAGAAATTGTCTCCCCGGACCCCATCCCCAAACAAATTTTAGCTGGCTTCAGTTGGATTCTTTGTGTTTGATTGTGATATCTCCATTTACATTTTACAAGGCTCCAAGCCTACAGCCTGTTATAAACATGCCTGCTCTTTGAGGAGGCAGTCCGGTTCCTGGTAGGGCCCAGAGGTAAAAAGGGCAATTCTTTAGTGGAGCCCTATTGGGAACCCAGGCACTTTTCCTATGTAGACATTATTCAAACATGCTGGCATATCTCCAGGGTTGATTTAGAAATGCAAGTCACTCCCACCAATCCTGGGAACAAAATATTCTAAAAATTCAACGATAGCCCCAGAACAAAGATCAGTAGGAATTACACTAGTAGTCTCTGGAATTATTTAGCCTGATTTTCTCAGGCCCTCTGTAGCCTAGGGCAGTGGGCTTTCTAGTTACCACGTCTACCATTACATCCCTCCAGATAGACAGTGGATACAAGGTGTCACTAGTTCTCACTTTGCCTCTGAAAGCTCAATCTCCTTGAGCTTCCATTTCCTCATCTGCAGAAAGGGAAGAGGAGGGCTGCTGAAATCATATGTATAATAATATCAGCTGGAATTCTGAGTTCTTACCATGTGCCAGGTCATATAAAAAGCACTAGAAGGTTAATTTCACAAGGCTTTTTGTCATATTAGTTCACTGGGGCATAGAAGGCACTAAAAAAAATACTGAATGAATGAAAGAATGATTTAATATAAGCCTCACAACAATCTAGGGAGCGAGGTGTCATTAAGAACATCTCCACTTTACATATAAAGAAGCTGGGGCACAGAGAAGGTACAATAATGTTCTAGCCACACAGCAAGTAAGTGTCCCCCTACAGAATCTGGACAGTCACACTCCAAAGGTATGAAGTTAACTCCCATGCTCTGCCTTACCCAAGGGCCTGCCCCATACATTGTCACAGCTGATGCGCAATATGTGTTGATCCAGTATAATTTGTAAATTATTAACAATTATTATTGATTTAAATGTTAAGAAGAAATCACTCCACAGCGGGGGCCAAATGACCTTACAACAGAACTTTAAACATCCTTTTCAGAAAGGGATTCGAGCATCTACATCATTTTCTTTACTTCATCCTCCCTCCCTATTTCTCAACAGATGGCTCTCTACACGACCACTACAGCTCTGTGAACAAGATTCTGGGTGTCTTTACATCTTTAAACTCCCTTTCTCGTCAGTCTGTCACTTTCTGCCTTCATGAAGCCAGTGGGGATATCTTTGGAGAAAAACGTTTTAATGAGTTACATTTTTTATGATGTTGATAAAACAAGTTGTAAATATAGCTCTCCCCAAGGGCAGAGTCTTGCTGTCTGTGCAGAACACAAATCCTGGGGCAGAATTTCTGTCCAGCAGTGTAACTCCTTATCAGCAGCCAGAGGGGCCTTCAGCGGACCCGGGCCTCTGGGACCCTGCACAAACCACAGTTTCCTATATATGGTCATTTGCAATCAAGGACTCAGATTCCCCACCTGCTGACTCAAATGCCAGTGGGATGAATCATGAGTCGTGGCTGCCACTCTGTTGCAATCAAAGAAAAGGTGAGTCTTTTCTAAGGAAAAGCCAACTTCTCAGATTCCCCACGCTCAGTATCTAAATACACTTTTCTTCTACCACCAAAAAAAAAAAAAAATTAAACGAAATAAAATAAATGATCTCCCTTAAGAGGAGCAAATGCTCACAAGGATGGGTGGGGTGCCAAGTCCTCCGAAGGAGCTCGAGCCAGCCCCTCCTGATTCGCCAGGGACCCAAAGGACAGTTGTGACTCCCTGCTCTGTTTCTGTCCCCAAGACGTTTAGGGCTGGGGAGGCTGAGATGGCCAGCTGGTTCCCTAAAAGTGAAGGGTCTCGGACCGGACAGCGGGGTGTCAGTCTGCGCCCCGCCCTCACCATAGCTGGGTGACCCTCCCAGGGCGCACCACGTTTGCACCTCTGGGCCTCAGTTTCCTCCATTCTGAAATGGGGGACATGGACTCTCTGCCGCCGAACCCCCGCGGCCCGCTGGTCTGCGGCGTGGGCCGCGCTCCCGGGGAAGTGGGCCCGGTGCCCGCCACCGCTCCCAGACGCCTGGCAGCCGCGGGCGACTCGCCGCGAGGCCGATCTTACCTGCAGTGCGGCCGAGGGACCCGGCGTGCGGGAGAACGGCGAGAGAGAGTGCACTCCGGCCGCCGCCGCTCGGCGCCGGCTGGGCCCGCGCCCGCGACCGCACCCTTCCTCCCGCCCCTCCCCCGGCCTCCCGGCTCCGCCTGACCCGCGCCCGGGGCCCTGGGAAAGGCGAGCCGCGCCCCTCGGCCGCCGGGGCTCCACGGCTGTACCCTCGCGTCGCAGCCCTCCGCTTTTCGGGGGTGCAAAAGTAAATGCTTTGTGCCAGGCACAGTTCTAAAGTCCTTACGAGGAGGCCCTCATTTAAATCTTGCAACAGCCCTATACGGTAGATACAGGTTTCCAGGGTATCCGAAAGTAGAGTTCCTGGGAAGCCTTTCCTAAGCTGAAATGGCGTGAGGTGAAGAAAAGATCACCATTAATTTATATGAAAAAAACTTTCGGGCATTCCCAGACCACACACCCCCACGCCCACCCCAAATAACCGCTCTTAGGCTTTTCTGATACTTGAGACACATCTTGCCAGCAGATGGAAAAATACATCAAAACACAGCACAAGTGCTCGTGGATCCAGTCCTCAGCTGTGGTGACTTGATGCTGAGATGCTCAGTGTCATCCTGGGGAAAGGAGGGCGCCCACCATCCTGGTGGCTCAGTCGGTTCAGCGTCTGCCTTCGGCTCAGGTCATGATCCCGGGGTCCTGGAATCTAGTCCTGCACACATCAGGCTCCGTGCTCCGCGGGGAGTCTGCTACTCTCTCTGCCCCTCCCCCGAGCTTGTGCGCGTGCAATTTATTTATTTTAATAAATAAATAAAATCTTTAAAAAAATTCCTGGGGGAAGGAGCTTGGGGGGCACTCTGGCTAGAGGTGTCTGCTCCCTTTATAATGAATGCCTGCTGCTAAACAAATGCCCAAGACTTTCCGATTTTGCCTTTTTTCCTTTCTGCTTTCAGTTAGCCAAAGCAGCTACTAATAATGTAGGTATTTAGTGACAGCGAAGAAGCCTAACAGGCACTTTGGAAAGTCGGGGGATACCTGTACTGTGATTACCCACATTTTATAAATGAGGAAACCTAGACAGAGAGATTAAGTAACCTCAGCAAAGTCACACAAGGAGGAAATGGCAGAACTAGATTTTGAACCCAGGGAGTTTTGTTGTTCCTCTGCTAAGCTCATTGGCTCTCTAGTAAGAGGATAGGAACCACAGACTTGGGGAGATAGTAAGGTGGAAGGGCATTCTCGGCATCTGGAACAATAAAACAATTGAAGGAGGCTAAAAACCAAAGCCCTGGTTGTATTCAGGGAATTGTGAGCAGTTGTGTGTTGAAGGATGTAGTAGAGAATGATAGAAGCTACCATTTATTGGATATCAGGCATTGGACTCAGTACCTAATTGCATTCCCTCTTTTATCTTCAAGGCAACCCTAGGAGGTACTATTCTTCTCAGAATTTGCAGCAGAGGAAACAAGCTTAGAAAGGTCAAGTGATTTATCCAAAGCCACTTGAGTAAAAAGTGCCATAACTGGGACTCAGCACTGGCCTCAGCCCTTAGGTACCTTTCCTCTGGGCAGCGCTGGATCTTGAATGACACACTGCGGGTATTGGGGCATAATTTAGCAGTAGTAGGGAAGTACTGAAAGTGTTTGAGGGAGACTGGCAGACAGATCTAATTCATCCTCTAAAAAGATAGTTATGCAGGTTCCATAAACAAGGAATCAAAAGAGAGAAGAGAAAATTAAAATCCTATAGGGAGACTCTAGAGTCTCTGCTACCTGGACTTCAAAAGTGACAGTTAATTAGAGGTGGAATTAGGGCAACTGTGGCAGTTTGGGCTGTTGCAAGTGGGGTTTCGCCGTCTTTGTCTTGCCTTCCACATTAGTAAAATGCAGTTGAAAGTGCAGGACTCCACAACAAAGGCCTGAGGGCAAGAGCAAAGGATGAAGATCAGGATGGAACGGGCACTCTTTCCCAGAGAGAAGCAGGTGCCGCTCTAGGGCAGAGCCAATTCTAGGATTTGTTCAAGAGGCCGAGTTAGACAACAACCAAAAGGGCTGGGAACAACCTGACACGGGAACAATCAAGAAGAGCTGTATCTTAGTCCGTTCAGGCTACCATAAGAGGCTCCCGTAGACTGGGTGCTTATAAACAACAAAACACTTACTTCTCACTGTTCCAGAGGCTGGGAAGTCCAAGATCAAGGCTCCAGCAGGTTTCAAGTCTGGTGAGGGCTCCCTTCCTGGTTCGAAGACAGTTGTCTTCTTGCTGTGGCTCACATGGCCTCAAGGGCAAGAGAGCTCTCTGGGGCCTCTTTTGTAAGGGCACAGATCCCATTCATGACAGCTCTGCCCCCCCTGACCTAATCACCCCGAAGTCCCCACCTCTGAATACCATTGCTTTGGGAGGTAGGATTTCGATGTATTAGTTTTGGGGGGACACAAAATTCAGACCATAGCAAGCAGCGTACAACAACTCCCACAGTCTCCTCTTAAAAAGTTACTACATAAAATTTTTAATTGTGAAATATTTTAAAGATACCAACAAGAATAAATGATATTATAATAATATTGACTACCCGTGTACTCATCACCCAGCTTTATCAAAGCTTAAACATTATTCATTTAGAATGTTTTCAAGATATTTTAAAAGATAAATGGAGGGGTGCCTGGGTGGCTCAGTTGTTAAGCATCTGCCTTCGGCTCAGGTCATGATCCCAGGGTCCTGGGATCGAGCCCCGCATCCGGCTCCCTGCTCGGCAGGAGGCCTGCTTCTCCCTCTTCCTCTGCACCCCCTGCTTGTGTTCTCTCTCTCGCTGTCTCTCTCTCTGTCAAATAAATAAATAAAATATT